CTTGCCTGTCAGTTTTGCTGTTATCCTGCAGCTCACGGTGGCATCAGATCCAGTACGGCTTCAAATAACAAGCCTTTTGTTGTTGAGAAACTCGCAGTCTGAGGAACAGAACTGAATCACTACCCACAGAGAATGCAGTGTTTAACCAAAAGAGGCAAATAGCTTCAAACGATTGGCTGGTGAGTATGCTAGCGAGCAGTATAGCTACTTACGTTGAAGTTCTCAGGTAATCTAGCTGAAATAGTAAGTTACAGAAAGACATTCCTTTAAAACTTCAGCTGGATTAGCTATTCTGCTGGCTAGCTGGCATACATACTGTACAAATCACAGACTAACCAACTGTTTCAAGTTGTTTTGCCTCTTTTCTTCAAACACTGCATTTACTATGTGTCGCTCTTCAGTTCTGTCCGTCAGACTGAAGGTTTTTCTGTTATAAAAGGCTCATTATTTGAATTTGTATTGAACCTGACAGGTTTTTAGTAAGGTTTACTTTTGTACAGTACAAATGAGACTCTAATCAGACTCACTTAAAGCGACTTATAACGTTTCTGGTATGGAGCAGCTTTTACCTAAATAATGATTTGGCTGTTTTTCTTTACCAAACTATTTCTAAAAGCACACATTGGAATTCGTTTGGCCTAGATTTGGTGATTTGAACACCTGAAAGGTTTGAGTGCTGATGTGTGTTGCACCATGGGGCCTAAAAAAGGATATTTTGTTCCAATGTATACGTTATGTTAAGGAATGACACTAAGGCTTTGTTCACATGGCAGGAATCCAGTCTTTTTCTTCATATTAGACACAGATGTGTGTCTGTGTGTCAGTGTGAACAGATAAACACACTGAATCTGACATTTTCAATTCTGATTTGAGATGCTTGCATATGTGGTACTGAAATCTGATACGTATCCGATCTGCGGCAGTTCGACTCAGTCTGAACAGCCAGATCGGAATTCATGCGCCTTTTACGTCAATCCAACTCGACATTCGTCATAATTTCGCGCTGCTGAGACTCATAAATATTTAGGCTGATGTTTCTGTGCAAAAAAAATTAGAAGAGACTTATCGCAAGCGCTCCGTGTTTGAAGAGGTTTCGAAAGAAATGGCCAAAAGCAGCCGCAGGAGAACGAGGCTGCAGCGTCAAAGGACAGTTAAACGTCTGAAAGCACAGTTTAAAGAATCCGAGGACTCGAACCAAAGAAGTGACCGCAGCCTTTTTATGGCGAGCTCGAACACATTCTGGGTGATGAGCCCAGCTGTCAGTCAGTGAAGCTTCATGATGGCTCCTGTGACACTTGAGAAGGTGAAGCTGAACCTCCGGGAGCGACTGGCGTTCATGGCAGTCATGATTGTTTACATCTGGATGAGCCACGTGAAGCAACATGAAACCTTGTTCTGTTGCGCATGCGGGTCAGTTTGGGAGCCGATCTGTTCAGACTAGATATTTATACTGTGAACAGCCAAAGCAAAAAATCGGATTTGGTGAGAAAATCAGATTTGGGCCACCTTTACCTGCTGTGTGAACGTAGCCTAAGACCACTTGACTTGAGTGCTATGGTCACAACAAGGGGATAAAAGATGTTACGTATTTACAGGGGTATTATTTTCTTCTAAGTTCTTGTAACAAGACTAAAACATGCTCATTTGTTTTATAAAGCATTTTGAAACAGTAGGTCTCACCAAACTTTTGTTGGACAGTGTACCTGGGGAGCAAGTAACACTCTAAACTGTGCAGTGCTGTGGCCATCCAGGACTGGAAGTGAAGAACTCTAGGTTAGAGTGTCCGGCCTCAGGCGACTCCCCCAGAGACATAGAGACACGATTCCCAGCAAAGGCAGCAGCTAGAGCCCAGCGCCCCAGGCTGCAGCTCCACACCGGTGGCAGGTGTGAATGTAAACACGATCAGTTCAGCATGTGTGCTGCACTGTTCACGTCCCATAATTGTGCCCTTGAGGACAATGCTTAACCTCTGTGTGCTCCTGGAGCACCATAATATGGCTGGCCATATGTTCAGCCCCTCCTTCAGCCTGATAAGATTAGATACAAAAAAGTAAACCGGTGCTTTTTGTATCTAATGACCCCTCTGCGGAATATGTACATTTTGTCACTATGGAAACTGTATAAGCCTCCTAGGATGGTCCAAGATATTTGAGTATCCCTTTGTTTATTGATATTGGAATCTCTGCTACTCTGCTACACCGGGGCTGTGTGGAGTCAGTACAACTTAGAAAATATAATATCAGTGGATTATGGTACAATTATGTTCCCTGACTAAAGGTACTGCAATCTACCCTCGTGGGTCCCACCTCAGTGACGAGAGGGGCACCGCCCCAGTGACAGTTTACTACCTTTATTTCTGAGAGTGTAGAGATGCACAATATTATCCGAATCATCGTGAGCAGATAATTGCTTTAAAAACAAGATCGGCATCGGACGGATATTTAGATGTAACAGATGTGTCAAACTGATATTTGATGACATATAGAATAGTGGAATATTTTGGCCTACTACACTTAAATATCTGTATTTTATTCATTTTACTACAGAAATAAAAGTTAGATCTCTCTGTATTGTAAACGGATGCAGAAGTTGTCGTGTTTCTGTACATTATAAACGTTAATGTGCCGCTATGGGCAGATATGTACATGACAAATGTCAGATATAGGCATCGACCCACAATTCCCATCTCGATGCAGCCCTAATCTTGAGTCATTTTTGTACGCCTATGTTTTTTTTACAAAAGCAGTCTGCCTTTTGTTAAGATCAAGCAATTATCGTTGACGTATGGAGAGAGTAGAAAATGGAAAGTATAACACATCAGTTAATGCATGACAGTTTAGCATCCTGCCTGTGAGTTGTCTGGCCTTAAAGCACAGCGCACATAACAAGAGTACAGTAAGCAAAAAGTTAAAGAATCAGAGGTTCCCCCAAGCGTTGGCTCTGTTGTGAACAGTTTGATCCCCAGCATCCAAGAGAGCAGAACTGTCCTCTCCCTCTGGGAGGGTAGAACGGTCCACCTTCATCCACCGTCACTCAGTGTGATGCTAGCCAACACAAGTGTTTGTTAGCTTACATAACAATTGGGAGTGTTGTTCTCCAAGCACATTGAGCTGTCCATTGATGTTGTGTTAGCGGCAGTTTGAAAAGATGTGGTGGTTCTCATGCTTTAGAGGTTTGGCTGCTTTCAGAAAAATAATAAATAAATAAAAAATAAAGCTTTGCCACCAGCACAGTCTTGAGTGCATTTTCAGTGAAAAGAGAGCCCTAAATACAGACTACAGGCTGCTGCTTACACTCATCACGTACACCAAGGATCCAGTACCTTTCTTAGGTAAGCTGTTTAGCACAGCTGGTTATGTTGTAAGACCACGTTACCTGCCGTGCCTGCTGAAACCGGAAAACATAAACGTGCTTTCTGGTCAAAAACGTTGTTCTTTGTCAGAAGTTAACTTTATTCTTGTTCAGTTTAGCAGTTCTTGGTGTGGTTTGGCAGTTCTTGGCATGGTTTGGTGGTTTTTGCTGCAGGTTCAATAAATTGTGTGTTTACAGCCCATAAATTGCTTCTTGTTACAACAGTAAAACAGTTAAAGCATCACCATGTGAAGCAGCCTGAAGGTCACTGTGACTCTAGTGCCCAATCTCATTTCTTATTTGTACCCCTACCCCTTGTTTTTGAGGGTCACCTTGCTCCTTGGAACTGAGTTACAGGGGTTAGTAGTTGAAATCTTCCCCCTATGAAATGGGACCCTCAAAAAAAAAGAGCATCACTTCATTAACAGCTACTAGCGCTGCTCTGTAGGTGACCCTGCCAGTCTGCAGTGACAGCAGAGGAGGGTAAAGTTCAGCTCCTCACTGCTGGGCTTTAGTTACATTTAGGGAATCATATGCCTTCAAAGAGGGGGGTCAATTATTTATTATCTCCTACCCCTAATTCTATAGTGATATGAAGCTGAACTCAGCTCTTCACCAGCTTCTTGTTCAGATTTTCCTGTTCCACCTTAAATGGTGCAACAGTTACATTCTGCAACTTAAAGCGTCATAACTGCTGGAGTATTTAAGGTGGAACAGGAAATTTAGCTAGCTAGCTACTGAAAGTAGGCTATTATTAATTTATTTATTGTTTTATGCTTATGAAGAAAATGACCATACTACACCTGAAATGACTTTAAACTAAGATAAAATAATGGTTGTCGTAATTTTTAACGTAACTACTCACATTTGTGGGTTTCTTTGGTCGCTTGCGCAGCCGTCTTGCCCATTTTCCTCATAACACTCCGTTTGGAGGACCATGTAGCCCTAACACTTCGCCCAACCCCTCTATCTCAACAAAAGTCGAGCCGCCCTAACCCTAGACGTGACCATGCAAAATGGAGGGCTAAGGGCTAAGTAGTATGGGCAAGGGGTGAAATGGGTTTGGGCCTTAGTCTGTGTTGTCATTTTGTTTTTATGAACTGATGTATTCGCAACGTAAAAATCTTTTAAGCCCCTGTTTGTGTTTTTTGACCTTGTCCATCTTGATTCACAGTAGCAATAGATGGAAACTATCTGTGATTTGCGATACCATCATCAATAGTCTGAAGTCTAAAGGAAGTGCAGTGATGTGGCTTCTTTTGCTTTGTTGCACAAATCGCTTGGCATGGAGTTTGAATTTAACAACAGCAGCTCTATGATGAGCGAAAATTGGAGGAAACGGCAGAAGGCGTAACAATTTCATTAGCTGATTCATTGACTGATAGGTTATAACCGTTATGTCTGACGTATGTGACGAATTTGTGTTGTGAAGGCATGATGAATCTGAGCTTTCATTAGAAACGTTTGAGTTGTGACCCTTGTCTGAGAAGCTGTCTATCACTGCAATTATGAAACGTTAATATCAGCCTGTTTCCCAGATTGTTTTTGGAAATTAACGTAAGTTTAGAGCACCAGTTAATCTTTGAAACCTGGAAAACGGCATCCTAAGCAACCAATAAAGACCTTATTCCTTTTTTCTCATTCTTCAGAGTTTCCCTTCAGACGAAGGCTGGCCCTTTGCCAAGTATCTGGGCGCGTGCGGGCGCATGGTGGCCGTGAACTACGTGGGTGAGGAGCTGTGGAGTTTCTATCATGCGCCGTGGGAGAAGCGAGTGGACCTGGCCAAGCAGCTGATGGACATTGCTGAGCAGCTCACGAACAATGACTTCGACTTCGCACTCTACTTGCTGGACGTCAGCTTCGACAACTTCGCCGTGGGCCCCCGGGACGGCAAGGTCATCGTGGTGGATGCCGAGAACGTGGTGGTGGCTGACAAAAGACTGATCAAACAGAGTGAGCGCTCTTTTTTTTACTCTTTCTTCTTTCTGTCTGTTTCACTCTATTGCTCTTCTCAATTTTGCCCTGTCTGGCTGCTCCCCCTCCACTCCCCACCACGTCCTTCAAAGGCACTAACCAGCAGCCTTAGGCTATGTTTTGGAGAGCACGATGGGTAGCTCAAATCATATATTTTTTTTGTTTTGTTTTTCGGGGGTTGTGCCAGTGCAATACAGGCTGTCAAGCGAATAACAAATACCTTTTGAGACTGAGTACTGATAAAAATACCAAATGTTTTAATCACATAGTTCAGTACAAGCTTAGAGGTCTGCATAGGCATGAAATTGAAGCCCGAACCCGAACCGGACCGGCTGGTCTTGCTAAAATTGAAACCTGAGCTGGTTCGCCTGAGCTAAGAGAGCTGGATTATCACAGTGCTAATAAGAGTTGATGGACAGAAAATGACTTGGTTAAAGTGGTATTTTACACCTCTGTAATACACTAACAGTATTTATTATCGGTATAATTTTGTGGAATTGCTTTCCGACTTGACAGAAAACAGCATCCACCCACCTCTGATCAACACGACTGCTGCTGGAAATACTTAAAGGACCCTTATTATGCAAAACTGAATTTCTCTTTTTTGAAATAAAGGTAAAGAATTTGAATTAATGTGTGATCTTCAATCAATCAATCAATCAACCTTTATTTAAACTGTACATTGAATACATTGAGGGAGACCCTCATTTACAATGTAGCCGAGCCAATATAGAAATGAGGGATTAACAAGTTAAATAGTAAAAACGTAACAAATGCTAAAAAGTAATAATAATCATGGTAGTAAAAAATAATATTATTTAAAAATATGTAAAAAATATCAAAATTATTAAAAAAAGCCCACCAATAAACCATTAAAATGATAATAGCTTTATATATATATATATATATATATATATATATAGTTATAAAATAGTGTCTTAATAAATAAGATAAAATAATACTATAAATAAAGAAAGATGTAAAACAATATTAACATAAATAAGAACAGAATACCAAAAATGAAACAATAACAAATCATACCATAAATCACTTTAAAAGTTAACTAAAATCAAGTAAAACTGTTGCAGGCTGTGTGGTGGTTCGAGACACCACTGAGTGAAGCGAACATCATCACTCTTCAATCCATACTGTCCATATATAGAAACTAATCTGCAAAAAACAGCCTGTTCTGAATTCATCCGTCCTAAAGGCTCAGTAACAGAAACAGCCTGCTTAATTCTTAGGGATAAAGCGAGTTTGGAGAATGGTCACGTAAAAATGAGTTTTGCTTCATAAAGCCACACAAATGTTAGAAATGGACCTCAAGAGAAAGATAAAATATAAAAAAACTAGGATTTGGCCACTTTAACAGCTGAACAAGCAAGAGGAAAGATCTGCTGTGACCTTATTTACATAGGCATGTTCCTTCAAACGAAAACAAATCTACTACATTACAAAAAGCACTCATCAGTGCTGTATGTGAAAAATCTGCCCCTTTGGAGCCCCGAAATTGATATTTTTTCTGGCCTTAGTGGGCTTAGGTCATTAGCAGACCCCTAATTTCTGTGCAGTGTGCTTTGCATGGCTTTTGTCCATCTTCTCTAAATGGCTGTACTGAAATGAATAGTTTAGTAAAAAATCAGATGTAGATCATTTCCCCCCTTACCCCAAATATAATTTATCAGCCATGACCAGGACAAAAGTACAAGCTACAAGATGTGCTGCTGCTGCTTTTAGCCTTGCAAGTTTTATAGACAGCAAAGGAACCACAGAAGAAAGTGTGTTTGAGATGAATTAACAGCTCAGCTCAAGTGTTTGATGGTTTAGGAATGCATGTTGTGTAATCTTTGGTGGGGTATAAGTGTCTAATATCTTTTTGGCTACATTAGCCTCGTAGCTCCAACGCAATCAAAGAAGCAAACTTCACATACCAAACATGTAACTTGGCTGATCAGTTACATCTGTTTGCTCCAAATTTGTACAAATTTGATTTTTGGTGAACTATCCCTGCCGGAACAGTGTAGTGGGTAGGGTCTTTTCAACAGGATCTCTCTCTCTCTCTCTCTCTCTCTCTCTCTCTCTCTCTCTCTCTCTCTCTCTCTCTCACTGAGCTGTCAAATTGATGTACCCGTCGTGCAGTGACAGGACTTACTGCCAGTTAGTCCTTCAGACTTTACTCTGGGGGAAAATCTTTCCCCAGCAAAACTGCATGACTCCACAGAAAGTTTATTCCTCTTTTTTTATTTATTAAAAACTCTCTCTGACGCAATCCCAGTGCAGTGCACTGTTTTCCAAGTGTGACGGATTATTATTGTTCCCTCTGGTGAGGTTGGCCAATACAGTAGCTCATGGTGCTTCAGTTCCGGTTCTGGGGGGCGTTTGTCCAGCAGGGTTTGGTGATTTTCCTGTTTAATTGCCAAGTTTAGTGTGTTTAAAGTCGTGGAATCACCAAACTGTGCTTTACAAAAGGTTCTGGCCCTCTAGTTACTTCTGCAGTAGTCAGTTCCTCTGTAGGGATGTTAAAGGGCCCCTAATATGGAAAACTAAATTTCCTTGTTTTTATGGAAATTAGGGAGTTTGATGTAGAATGTAAACACTGCTAATGTTTTAAAATGTACGTTTAACTCCTCAGTCCATGTAGTCTGTATGTGTGAACTAACCTAAAAACACCCTGTTTTGAATGAATTGTTTTTCACATCACTGAAACCAGTCCGTCTGAATGCACCCACCTATTCAGCCTACAGCAGTTTAGCCCCACCCAATTACACTGAAGTTATCTTTAGGGTTTCAGGCCTGTTTCTGAGTGAGCCATAATACAAGGCAGCCAGTCAGAACAGTGGTCAGTAACAGTTGGAAGAAGGTTGTGTTAAATGAATTATGGCTGTTTTTGCTACATAATCGCCAACAAATGTTATAAGTTAGTGGGAATAAAATGCAGGAAAAACCTGTGCTATTCTGCATATGCACAAATTTGAAAATTTCCGCTGCTTTCTGCCACTACAGCCTGCCCACATAGCTTGGTAAAACGAGAGGTTTACGTTAATGTTTTTGTTATGTGTTGAAGTAAAATTTTATTTGCACTAGATAATAAAACAATTCATTCAACAATATTCAGATTTCTCTATGAAACTGGTTTGGTGTTGGTTTAAATTTGGTTACTTTTGTTCATTTTTCCTTTTTCCTTAAGATGTGTCCCATAGATAGGGAAACACTCAGGTGTGCTCTTGTGGTAGAGCTTGCTTGATGACTTTGTTTTCCACAGCTACGGGATCAACGCAGATTTATTTCTGATTGCCGTAGCCGTCCATATAGCCGCCAATGCTTATAGAGGGATTTCACCAATATTTTTTGGAAAATCAACTAAAAAAAAATTCTACTATTTTAAAATAAATTAATAATAGAGATGTAAAGAAAGTCATGTAGAGTGCATTAATGCAGAAAAGTTAATTTATAGTGATGGTGACAGAAAACAGGGCTCACACTACAAAACAGTTTTTATAGGGTAATGTTGATGGTAAATCTGAAAAATAAGCTGTCTTTGGGGATTTTGCCTTACAACATCTTGAATGTACCTCTCTGCCAGGAACAGTTTCTGAAAATATGTTTAGGCCAACATCTTGTCTCAGATCTGTCAGAAAAACCAATGTCTCAGACATCAGGCAGCGTATTCATAAATGCTTCATGTGATAACTTTCTGTGACATCTGGTTCCTGTCACCACCACTGTGAACACTTATCACTTGGTGAGTTTCTCTAGAACGAAGCATTTCACCTCAAATCTCGCTGAATGACTAGATTTACTTTACTATTTTATGTAGAAATTTAGAAAAAGTGGTGCGTTTCCCCTTTAAAGCTCCTTATCTGTGTGTGTTTGTGTATATCGTCGTGCAGCGCGACAGATCTAGATGGAGCGAATGCTTCAAACGTCAGTGAGGTCAGCCGTCAGAGTGTTGGGTCTGTCGCTGAGGAAAAAGCAGATGGTGTTTGTGTGTGGTGTCACATGTGAAGATGGAGTCACTCCTGAACGGTGACTTGTCATACTGCCAAAAGGCTCACAGAAGCAGCTCTGTACTTTCCTGCAAACTTAGACATGGACTGTGCTCACAAGGTCATGTTTCCTTTTACCACAACACTGCTCTGCCAGCTCCAATCCAATCTCTGCTCTCGCTCACATTTCCCCCCTAATGCTTTCAAAACTGGTAAAACTACATGACCATTCAGATGTTTAGAATCACTTTGTGTTGCAGTTAGCTATATGAAATCATATATAGACTTTTGGACCTCACTGTGTGTGTGTGTGTGTGTGTGTGTGTGTGCACACCGATCAGGCATAACATTATGACCACCTCCTTGTTTCTACGCTCATTGTCCATTTTATCAGCTCCACTTACTATATAGGTGCACTTTGTAGTTCTACAGTTACAGACTGTAGTCCATCTGTTTCTCTGATACTTTGTTAGCCCCCTTTTACCCTGTTCTTCAGTGGTCAGGACCCCCGTGGACCCTCACAGAGCAGGTACTATTTGGGTGGTGGATCATTCTCAGCACTGCAGTAACACTGACGTGGTGGTGGTGTGTTAGTGTGTGTTGTGCTGGTACGAGTGGATCAGACACAGCAGTGCTGCTGGAGTTTTAAACACTGTGTCCACTCACTGTCCACTCTATTAGACACTCCTTCCTTCTCAGTCCACCTTGTAGATGTAAAGTCAGAGACGATAGCTCATCTGCTGCTGCACAGTTAAAAACTCCAGCAGCACTGCTGTGTCTGATCCACTCAGACCAGCGCAACACACACTAACACACCACCACCACCACGTCAGTGTTACTGCAGTGCTGAGCATGCAGATTTTTACAGAAGGGAGCCTAGTTAGCCAACATGAAATCTAACATTGACATCTATAATAATAATCCATAATGTTAATGTGACGTGAAATGTTTCTGGTGTGGTTATCTCAATGTTATTATCAGGGTGCGAAGCTA